TGCTGCGCCAACGTACGGGCGGTACGGAAATACGTATAATCGAACTGGTTCGGGTCGCTGAACTGAGCGTTCCAGGCAAAATCCTCTGTATAGGCATCGAGCGTAGCCAGCGAAGTTATTTTGTTTTGATAAACGTTGGTCTCGGCCAGGCGGATAGCCTTGAATGGGTAATCCCCGTAAGCCTGGCTGAAATAATGCAGGCCATCTTTATAGGCGGCCATAAAGCGGGTGATATTGGCGGCATGTTGCGGATGATAATAAATAGCGATTGCCACCGGGTGATTCAATTGCACCGTATCCTGCAAAACAGCATATTGGGCAGATAGGATATTAATGGGCATATAAAGTCCCGGATCGGTTTGTGTATACTGAAAATAATTGCGGCCGTTCTGCTTCCATTGGTTAACCAATGTTCCGGGTGCGAGCGCCGTTTGATCAGCGGAGGTGCTAACGGTTAGGTCCAGATTTAACAGGTCAATAGTAGGGCCCGCTTTCAAGGTTGCCCGTCCGGCAGGGTCATTTTGCGGAATATCACCGGGCGCTGTTCTTGTAGGTAAATGATAGGTTCGGCGTTCAAACGGATCGGTCAACTCCTCGGAAGCATCGTAACCCAGGCTTGGCAATCCGCCTTTAAAAAGAGTGCCGTTATGCAGCATATTTTCGGCGTAGGTATCATTGCTGAAGCCGGGATAGACCTGCCAGGAATGAACTTCAAGCACTAACGAATCACCCGGCAGAATCGCCCGGTCAAACTGATACAGCCGGTATTCAGCAGGTTCACGTTCTGGCCTGAAAAGATTAAATATTCCGCGAGGGTAATAGAGCGGATAGGTATAGGGGATCGCTTTCCCGCCGGTTTTTATGCTAAAATCGGTTAATTCCTCACCATCGACTACTAATTGGGTGATTGGCTGCTTTGTTTTATTTTGAATGGTAACCCAGGCATTGGTCAACGCTTGCTGTTTATCTGGGTAGAGGTTAACTTGTAATCTGATCCGGGTTACTTTAGGGAACGGCAGTCCGGCAAACCGTTTTAAGGCAATTTCAAAACGTACTTTACGGGCTGTTTGCTCGTGTTGGGTCAGGTAATTGTTTAAGTAGCTGATATTATAATATATAAAGCTACCAACAATTAGGATAGCGATCAGTATACCCAACGTTAGGCGTTTAGTCGTCTTATCAAAACGTTGTGTAGCCAAGCTGAACCTGTCTTTGGCCGTACTGCTTATGCCACGATTATACCCTAAAGTAGAAATAATAGTGAGCAGCCCGCCAAACAGCAGCCAATAGGTATTAAACCAGCTTATTGGTACTACCATATGCCCTAGTCCGTCCATATCGGACAATTGATAAGTTGGGGTAATGCCATAAAGCAGCAGGTGATAATCCAGTGTGCCCGATTTATTTAAAAAGAACAACGCTAGCCAAAGTAGTAGCCCGATGGTATGACCGACAAATTTTTGATTGACCAGTACATGCACCACATAACAAAAGATGACAATCTCTATTAATCGCGGTAGTAACAGCACAAAAACCTGGGTAGCATATAATCCGAAATTAAAGTGGTAGAACCCTTGCGCGATCTGCACGCCTAAGCCGCAGATTACCGGGAGTAGGGCCATACTAATGCCCAGTGTAAGTAAAGTGAGCAGTTTAGCCGCGTTTAAAAGGCGGTTTGATGGGGGTAAGGTATCGTTAATGACGGCAAATCCGTTGCTGCGTTCGCGGTGCACGATCTCGCCGGTATAAAACAGGAGGAAAATGAAAATATAAAAGGGAAACGTATCATTGAAGATAGTAAACAGCAAAACTGTGCGCGGAAACTCGGGTATGCCAAACGGTGAAACACCCATCCCAAACGCTAACAAAAGAAAAAAGACACCACTCGATAAACTGATCCAGAAATAATTATCGGTAACCAAATTCAGCCATTCTGTTTTGACCAGGCTTACCAATATGCGCCTGCTATACGGGTTTTTAAAACTGACGTGGACGTTTGGGAGGTGTGCTACCAATGTATCTGAAACTGTGTCAGCAACGAGCTTTTTACCTGTTTGCTCCTTAAAAAAACGGCCAAAGCTAAACCGGCCATAAGCCAAAAACAAGATAGCCAAACCAAGCGCTGTCCATAGTAACCTGTTTGCTAAAAACGTCCCACTGATGGCGATCAGAGACGAATTTTTCTGAATAATGGTCGCCTCATTCGCTTGCTGCATGACCCCGTTAATGGCAAATGGGTCA